GTATATAATATGCAAATAATATGTTTTGAAAAACATAGATAGATCCGATTATCTTTGTCTCAAAAAAGTTTCATATAAATGTATGTCTTTTTCGCTACATATTCATGTGAGCAAATATTTTTCGATTTGAAATATATATGTTCGAAGCAGAGAAACAAATTGGACTCGAAACATTTAAGAATTATGCTAATACGCAATTGCAGCAAGAACATAGTTGTAGAAAATTTAATCTAGTCAAGTTTTTCCATAGCATATTGTCGTCAATTGTTCAGAAATTGTTGTTACATATTTTTCTTGTTGTGGCTTGTTATGTCCACGCCATATATGCATGTTTTCAATAAAACTAAATATATATATAAGTCAAATAAGAAGAACTACTTCTTGCATTTGTATTTATTTATTCTGACATAATAAGCCCCAAGGTAGAGGGAGTATTTTTTTTAATTTGAAATGTTTTACACAAATGTCTAGGTACATGAATATGTATGTATAATTTTCTTGTTTCGGTGTCAGAGAAGTTTCCGGGGACGCAGACCAGGTAGGTACAAGCGTTCCGTGCGAAAAGGAACATTCATTTATAGATCGCACCAGCCCATATGCCAGATTATTGCTTTTTGTTTCACAGGGGAGGCCATTTAATCTACTGCATTAAAGAAACTAAAATCAACAAGCGGACTGAAGTAGACTGGAACAACTTCTGCCGAGAAATTGCTGTCTTTAGTTCTTTCCAGGTCCAAATACAGATTGGCGGCCCAGGGAAGGAATTCGAAAGAGATGAGTACAAGGTCGGAAAGCAGAAGTACAACAGATGTCGCTATATTAAAGAGCAATAAATATTTCGTTGGCCCCGGTGAAGACCGTTAGAAGGAAACCCTTTTGCTCCTCATAAAAGCATATAATCGACCAGGAACAACGATAATTTTCAACTTTTGGAAGGTAAGTGCGAAATATTTCTAGACTGAATCATAGTAAAATATAAATTCTTATATATATATATATATATATATGGACCAAGAAGGATATATCCATCACAAGGTGAACCATTCCAAACATTTTATGAATCCCGAAAATGGACAACACACCGACACCATAGCATATAACCGTAGATTTTTTTCAACGGTTATATACAGAAATTTATATTTTTATGGTGGTGCAAAGAAAGCGGGAAGTATCCACTCCTTGAATTTCTCTTGTTTGCTGGCCATCTGTATGATCCTGCAAATCCTACAGCGGGTAGCGAACGGGAGGAATTCAGAATGAATTCTTCCTAAACCTCTATGGTGTCAAACGTGAGGATTGGTTGGAGGAATCGAGTTCCGAGGAGGAAGTAATTTCTGTAAAAAAATCGATTTGATGCTTAATTTCAATTAGTTCATGCAAATTTTATTTTTTGTTATATTATTTTTTTTTTAATTTAGCCTCACAATGAAAAGTATCCACCGGTATTATTAAAAGTGGGTTTGCGTGAGAATGCGATTGCCGAGAGAAAATTAGGGAAATCTCAACGGACAATAGCGAGAATACTCAATACTACTCGACCTGCTGTACACAAAAATTATATTGAGGCACGAAACCGAAAACCAAATTTGCAACAAATGGGGTTTCCTAGCGAGAAAAAAATATTCAACAAAAGGCTGACGTCAGAGTGCAAGCGAGAAGCGATGCTATGATATGATATAGCGCAAAAGCTGTCAGAGTGGATGCTACGCTACAAGCGAGACAAAGCTAGTGCAAGCGATAAAGCGTGTTGTGCAATGGTTTATAGCAAGCCTTTTCTGTTGTAAACTGGTTTATTATTTTTATTTACCGTTATTGATCGGTTTTTGAATTTCTTTTGCATATCGAATTTTAATTTTTTGTCAAAGTAAATTTTTAAATAATAATAAATTCATAATTTGGAAAAAATATTTCTGGAAATCGATTTCAGAAATATTTTTAATTTGATGAATTTTTATTTAAAAATTACTTTGAAAATATTTTGCGATATGAAAAATTCTTCCAAAAACCTTCAATAACGGTAAATAAAAATTTACAACAGAAAAGGCGATGTAAACCAAGAACACGCTTTGCTCTCTATAGCACTCACTCTGACATACTATAGCATTGAAGTAGCATGAACTATTATAGCATGTAGTATCGCATCGCTTCTCGCTTGCACTCTGACGTCAGCCTAAGAAAACACACGCAGAGGTTTATAGCGTCGCCTAGCGGCATATCATAGCATCGCTTCTCGCGCGCACTCTGACGTCAGCCTAAGAGAAGAAAAGTGGTTGCTCCGACAAGTCGCCGATAATCCAAAGTTAAGGGCACCTAAACTTGCTGCTATCGCAGGGAAATATCTGGAAAAGAAATGTAACCTAGAAATAATTAGAAGAATTTTAAGTAAGCATGAACTTTATGGTAGAGATGCACTGAAAAAACGCTTTCAAAAACCAAAAATTTCACATGTTTGGATCGGTTGGACCAAGTAAGGTATGGCACAGGGCAAACAAATTCGTGGACCCTAAGCACAGAATTCCGACGGAGAAGCCTCTGTAAGGGTATGGGGCTTTACGAACGCTGCTGAAGTAAAAAATCTCGTTTTTTTTAACGGAATTGTGGATAAAATTTATTTCATAAAATTTCTAAAAGATAAATTGAAATGTAGTGCTGAAAAATTGGGATTGGCGACCAAACAGTAGTCCCAGATCGTTCGAGAATGGATGCTTTATAATAGCCAAAAGTATTTTGGAGAAACATATAAAAAGCCATAACATTTCAAGCATACCAAGTACCAAGTCAATACTTTACAAGTAGAATAGGGAAAAATTCAGAGATCTTATACGGAAAACTTGGTAAAATCTATGCCGGCAATGTTGAAAGCTGTAAAATATAACAAGAGATATCATACGAGTACAGTTCGGAAACTTCTTAGCTTAGCACAAACAGCGCGGTATAAGTTAGGTGTTTTGGAAACTTTCATCTCTGTTATGAACACATGTTAGTTTCGATCTGGCAACTCCTTCATATAGAATCAGTTAAATGTACAAATTCGAAAAAAAGTCCTGGCTTACAACACAAAAAATAATTTTTCATCAAGACAACGCACCAGCGCACAATAGTGTTTTAACAATGGCTAAAATCATCGAATTTAAATACGAGTTGCTTGACCACCCACCTTATTCGCCTGATTTAGCTCCCTGTGACTTACTTGTTCCCAAATCTAAGATCTTGATTTTAATTTAGTAATTTTGTTCTTTTATATGTGTATGTATGCATATAAGAAACAACTTTCTTATATCCGATAATTCCATATAAGAAAAAAAAAACGCATATAAGAAAGAAATCGCCGGCTTTTTTGAATATCTTATATATCTACTGTGTTCTACTGTATTAAATAATAAAAATATTTTTAAAAAAAACTAACTATTCTCTTTCGTTGATAGGCTAAGAAGTTTCCGAACAGCCCTCGTACTAAGTATTAACAACCATCTTAGATAATATTCACTGTGAAGTTGCAATTGCTTTTGTTTGACAATCATTATTATTTAATATTGAATTCATATAAATATTTTCTACTTTACTGCATTCTTTTAAGTTAAGAGTTCATGGCCTCATATAAAAAAGAAAAAAAATAATTAATTGATTAACATGCACTTATGTCATTTTTATTATACTGTATACTGTATCGTAGTGCAAGGATCTACTAATTTTAACTACGATAATAAATTTTCCTATGATATCGAAATAAATAGTAAATACAAGTAGGTTCTTGCAGTACGGGAACAGGCCAATAAACAATCCGGAATCCTTTTCACAGACTTGTGAAATCTATGAGCGAAGGGGTAAATTTTTTCCCACATACAAAGTAAAGATTAATGCTATGCTATACAATCCCGCTTTTGTGCCAAAAAGTACTAAAAATTGCAAATGTTCTCATTTAATAAGTCGCTCGGTGCACATAGATTAACTCACTTTTTAAAAAATAGCAAATTTAAGTATAACAGTTCTTTGTATAGTCACAATGTTCTATACTTATAATAATTTTTCTGAATAATATAAATTATTAGAGAAATTTTAAAAACAACATATATCATCGGATTACTCAACTTTTCATTATATGGAGTTAACCGATATATGCACTGAGCGGCTGAAATGATGTTGTCTTTTTCAGATGATTTTCATTTAAGAGAAACCCGAAAATACGTATATAGGGAAATAAAAAAAATTATAAATATCTAATTCTAATACCAATTTTAACTGAGCTTTTAAAGATTAAAAGTAAATTTTGTGTGAACGCAGTCTAACTAACGGGCATATGATCGAATATACACTAGAATACGTTACGTGTTCACTAATCATTCCACAAATATGGCAAATCTCTACTATGGCAACACTTTTTGCCGCCTTTTCAATTTAAACAAAGCAGCAACAACAACAATCACACGATCAACAGGTTCGATAACTGATAACTCGATAAAGCAACAAACGACAGCAGCAACAGCACAGAAAGGGTGCAAAAAAGGTAATTCAAAATTAAACGGTAAAAAATCACTCACACGCACGCACGCACTGCTATTGAATTTGCCAAGCAGAAATAAAGGAAAGAACACAGTAGATTGAGTGAAGTTTTGAAGTGCTTATCGTCGATTGTGTACTTAAAAAGTTAAACAAAATTAAATAAGCAGAGAAAAGTTAATCAATTTAGAAAAATAGAAATAAAAAAGTGCTTAATAAACGTATTGAATTTGAAAGCGATCGACATAGTTTGTTATAAGTGTAAGTAGCGAACTTTATGTGCTAAAAGATGAGAGGGAAAAAGTTCATGTCATTCCACCATTTTCCTGTCATGGCTAATGAAAAACAACAACAATAATAAATGTGGTGATCTCCATTTTCTTCCTTTGTGCTCCTTTAAGGAAGAAATGTGAGGTTATGTTTTAAATTACCATAAAGATTTAATCTTGGTGGTTTCGTTATTTAATTTTGATCCTTTTTCTTGTTCCTTATTTAGATACTAATTCTTCAATCCAGTAAATTAAACATACAGCTTAAAAATGAGTAAAGCCGAAGCTTCTAGACAGGGTGCTTACAAAAGCAACTCCATTAACACCAGTGTAAGTTGACATCCTTTAGTGTTGTTTCATTGTTAATGGAGATGAAGATTTGTTCTAATCCAAGATACATTCCTTGTTGTCTGTTGTTTTTAGGAATCGCGTTTACGTCGTCATGAGGTCACCGTGGAGTTACGTAAATCCAAAAAGGAAGATCAAATGTTTAAACGCCGTAACATCAATGAAGAAGATATCACCTCACCGCTCAAGGAATCAAATGGCCAATCTCCAGTACAAATGACAGTGGATGAAATTGTTGCCGCCATGCAAAGCACTGATCCAGAGAGACAATTTGCTGGTATGCAAGCTGCTCGTAAAATGTTATCACGCGAACGTAATCCACCCATTGACTTGATGATTGGTCATGGCATTGTACCAATTTGTATACGTTTCCTGCAGAATTTTGATAAGTAAGTTATGTATTTGAAATTGAGTTATTATTAAAATGTTGATTTATTTTTTGGAGTATTTTCCAAAAGTTTATAGCTTTTTACAAAGCTATGGAAAATGACAAGATTTTATGTGGTGCCAAATATTTAAATATGTCCTTGGGGATCCTATACCCTACACTTTGCTACATAAGCTATGCTATTACTTATGTATTTGAAATATGCCTAAGAAAAAGGATAGATTATTTTTCACATTTAAGAAGTTAATTATAATCGCTCACATGTGTCCTGATATCCATTTCTGTGCGTTTTTCTGCACGTGTGCTTTATACCATTAGCCTTATGTCTACTAAGGCAATATTAGACACAATAAAAATGTGCCTCATAGAAATATTGGTTTTAGACCTTAAAATTCTTTGCATCAAATTCGTTTATGATAATTTGGAGACGAATTAGGAATGCCCGTTCGTCTTTGTGGCTATTGTTCACTATAACTCTTGAGTCCAAATATCGATATCTGTCTTCATAACTAAAATCAAGTTCGAAGACAAGTAATATCGGTCCACTAATAATTATTTACCATAATTACGTGTCATTTTGGTTTACTCCTAATAGGTTAGGTTACAGGATCCGCGGCTGTTAAGAAGGCAGCCGCTTCAATCGGGGACTTATTGTCCATTGTGATCATTCTAAAAGTCTTAATTGAGTAGAGAAGCGGAACAAGTCTAGTTTAGGGGCTCCACTCGGATCGCTTTGAAATTTTTATCGTAAGTAGTCCTCGTTGAGCTGATTACAGTGATATATATTTTATGTGGGGGAAATGCATACTTCCCGAGATATGGGCCTTGAAAGTTCGGAGCATATCTTGAATAAAACGGCCGTTTTAGTAATGCCACAAAGGCAATATGGGTATCATTTTAAAGCTTACAACGAATGCGCATACATGGCTACGCAATCCAAATCCTTTTTTAAGAGCAATTTTCAAATCAAATTTAAGGTTTTTTAAGTAGCCGGCCTTCGGCCGGGGCTTAAGACTTTCACCTATGGACAGGCGCATACATGGCTACGCAATCCAAATCCTTTTTTAAGAGCAATTTCCGAATCAAATTTAGGTTTTTTTTAAGTAGCAGGCCTTCGGCCGGGGCTTTAGACTTTCACCTATGGACAGGCGCACACATGGCTACGCAATCCAAATCCTTTTTAAGAGCAATTTTCAAATAAAATTTAAGGTTTTTTAAGTAGCCGGCCTTCGGCCGGGGCTTAAGACTTTCACCTATGGACAGGCGCATACATGGCTACGCAATCCAAATCCTTTTTTAAGAGCAATTTTCAAATCAAATTTAAGGTTTTTATGTAGCCGGCCTTCGGCCGGGGCTTAAGACTTTCATCTATGGACATGCGCATACATGGCTACGCAATCCAAATCCTTTTTTAAGAGCAATTTCCGAATCAAATTTAGGTTTTTTTAAGTAGCAGGCCTTCGGCCGGGGCTTTAGACTTTCACCTATGGACAGGCGCACACATGGCTACGCAATCCAAATCCTTTTTAAGAGCAATTTTCAAATAAAATTTAAGGTTTTTTAAGTAGCCGGCCTTCGGCCGGGGCTTAAGACTTTCACCTATGGACAGGCGCATACATGGCTACGCAATCCAAATCCTTTTTTAAGAGCAATTTTCAAATCAAATTTAAGGTTTTTATGTAGCCGGCCTTCGGCCGGGGCTTAATACTTTCACCTATGGACATGCGCATACATGGCTACGCAATCCAAATCCTTTTTTAAGAACAATTTTCAAATCAAATTTAGGTTTTTTTTAAGTAGCCGGCCTTCGGCCGGGGCTTAAGACTTTTACCTATGGACAGACGCATACATGGCTACGCAATCCAAATCCTTTTTAAGAGCAATTTTCAAATCAAATTCAAGTTTTTTTAAGTAGCCGGCCTTCGGCCGGGGCTTAAGACTTTCACCTATGGACAGGCGCATACATGGCTACGCAATCCAAATGTTTTTTCTTTCAATTTTAGTTAATATTATATAATTTACAATTATACAATATGTTTATTTTTAAAGCACTATTCAAACTCTTTAAAATGATACCCATATTGCTTTGGTGGCATTAGTAAAACGGCCGTTTTAACCAAGGTATATTCCAAACTTTCAAGGCCCATATCTCGGGAAGTATGCATTTCCCCCACATAAAATATATATCACTGTAATCAGCACAACGAGGACTACTTACGGTAAAAATTTCAAAGCGATCCTGGTGGAGCCCCTAAACTAGACTTAAGCCCATGATACTTTGGTTTACTCCTAGTAGGTTAGGTTACAGTGTTCGCGGGTGTCCAGAAGGCAGCCGCTCCACTCCAAGACTTATTGTCCATTGTGATCATTCTAAAAGTATTAATAGAGTAAAGAAGCTCAAAGAAGAAAATTAAATATGTTAATTCAACTATGCCATTTTCCTAGCAAAGCTGTAAATGATTTTGGGGTCCATTTTGGAGAAAATGGTTAGCGTTTGTATCTCAAATCTCCCAAAATGTTTATGCCTTCTGCATCGAAGCACGGAGCATCGACAATGTAGACGTTCGATAGTTTCTAATTCTTCTTCATTCTCAATAATTAAGTGGAAGTCTAACAGAATTATCAATTGATAAACCGATAGACTGCGATCCAAGCTACTTCATTTCCCTTAATGACCTATTTACTTATGGAACCCAACAAAGTCTAACAAAATGCCGTATATTCCGCAGAGCTAATTTACAATCATGGATTACTCTACAGTTTTTAGTCCACGACCTGATTGATTGAAGTGCCGCCGGACTATCGACAAATATAGTCACCGGTAACGAGTCACAAGTACAAGTTCCTTGACAAATTCCACTGATTTCAGAATTGCTAAAATCTCTTCTTAAAAAACCTACAATATTATTAAATTTGTATAAGTTTTTCACCTGTACCTTCTTCCATCTTTGAACAATCTGCATATATCAACAGACCATCAAAGGAGGAAATTCACCCGTCCAGGATCTATGTTTCTATTGTTGTTTGAATTTCTTCTAAATGAAGGTATTGCATTGTTATTGTTACAGAGTTCATAATCTCCATAATCCGTCATCTCCAGTGAAGTTTAGGACATTTGCGTGTACATAGTGTGAAGTTCGCCATGTCCTAGTACGTTCCAAGCTTTGGTAAGAGAATACAGTTTATATTCAGGTCTCAAATTTTGGGAAGTATGTATTTCCTTCCCCCATTAAATGAAATGGAATTTAGATTTCGGGTACATTTTGATTTACAACAATTGCTTAGTAAAATTTTGAGTATAGGTCCACTTTTTGGTATGTTCTCTTTATTATAATCCCCCATTATTTAAATCAGAAGTCTCGGCAGTATAACAAAGTTCATCGTGGGGTGGGAAACTTCATTGCAAATAAATATTAACAGCCTGTAGTATAGTTACACGTGGATTTGAATTTCCCGGCTCGGTCGAAATTTTATTATTTTTTTTAATTAAAATTTTCTCATTTTTAACATCTATATACAGTGAGTGTAATAAGTATTTTGCCTCAATAAAAATTTGAAAAAAATCCAATATATACGCCTAAAGCCAGCAAACTAAAGATGTAAAATGAAATATGTATAATGGAGTATGTTTGTGGACATATTTAGATCGTATTTCTGCAAGAATCACTGCGAAAGACCTATTGGTCTCGAAGATATCGGCCGAAATATATAACAATGCAAAAATGTTTATCACAAAAAAGTATTTTGCTTTTTATTATTATTTTAGAAAAAATTGTTACATAGAACACGTTTGGTCTTTTTGTGGTTACCATTGCGGGTAACGACATACTATAAGCGATTTGGCAACGATTCCAATAAACGACGGCATTTTTCGCGAGTATTTTCTCACATTTACATTTACATACATTCTGCAGCAACATTTCATTCAATATTTGGTAATTTCTCGTCCTAATCTCAAAATCAGAGCATTAAATATAGTCGTCGGGGCTTCAAAACACCCCAAATATGTTAAGAATAATAAAAAGGAGGTTTTACAAAATATATCGCGAGGACAGGACCTTAAAAACTATTAAAACCAAAATCCAACAAACAAATTATTTAAAAAAATATCGCGAAACCCCATTTTTCTAACTTCGAAAACTTTATGGTTCATTTTTATTGATCTAGGAACCAAAATATACGATGGACGGTTTTCTGGCAATAGAAATACATCTTATTTCGAAAAAAATACATCGACCCGTTTATTCCCTACTGCATTTTATTCGCAACTGATGGTGTTAATCGGAGATAAAATATAGAATGCGTATTCGCCACCAGCAACCAGAGTTTTTCAAAAGACAATAAGATTTGACGAATAATGATGTTTTATCCCAACTTCATGTATTGGTTTTTATTACTATTGCTTTAGAACTGTTCATATCTTTGAATCTGACCCACTTATTGGTATTTACATTGCATATATTGGTTCCTAGATCAATATTACTGGACCATACAAATTTCGAAGTCAAAAAATTTGAGTTTCGCGAATTTTTTTTAAATAATTTGTTTGTCGGATTTTGGTTTTTATAGTTTTTAAGGTTCTGTCCTCGCGTTATATTTTGCAAAACCTCTTCTTTATTATTCTAAACATATTTGGGATGTTTTGAAGCCCCAATGACTATGTTTAATACTCTCATCTTAAGATTAGGACAAGAAAATACCAAATATTAAATGAAATACTGATGGAGAATGTATTGAATGTAAATGTGAGAAAATACCCACGAAAAAATGCCGTGATGTAATGAAATCGTGGTCAAATCGCTTATAGTATGTGGTTAACCGCAATTGTAACTATAAAAAGACCAAACGTGTCCAATGTAACAATTTTTTCTAAAATAATAATAAAAAGCAAAATACTTTTTTGTGATAAACATTTTTGGATTATTATATATTTCGGCCGATATCTTCGAGACCAATAGGTCTTTCGCTGTGATTCTTGCAGAAATACGATCTAAATATGTCCACAAATGTACTCCATCATACATAAGTCATTTTACATCTTTAGTTTGCTGGCTTCAGACGTATATATTGGAATTTTTTCAAATTTTTATTGAGGCAAAATACTTTTTACACTCACTGTATATAAAAGAGCTTAGTGTTAAGTGAGTGAGTGAGTGACTGACAGATCATCGCCCAGACGAAACGGCTAAAGCTAGAAGCTTGAAATTTTGAGTGTGGGTTGGTGTTGGTGTGTAGGCGTGAGATAAGGCTGGGTTTTTGGAAATTCGAACTAGAAGGGTACGAAAAGTACTAAAATGTACCAAATATGGTACCCTTTGTATTAGGCGAACGGGAAGAGCTAGAATTCTGAAATTTGGAATGTGGGTCACTGATGTAAAGTTAGGAAGATGGACAAAAGGATTTTTGGAAATTCGACCGATAAGTGTACTAAAAGTACTAAATTTAGTTCTAATTTTATATATATTGAACATATATAGCTAAAATCTTGAAATTTTATATGGAATAGAGGTTGGGAAGTGGTGTTGATGTATGGAAATGGTTTAAGATTTTCGTACTTATGTTTTTTAAAATGTACTAAATGGTACTAAATTTGGTACTATTTGCATTTAGTTGAGTGTATATAGATGGAATCCTGAAAATATCAATTAGGACTACTATTGGAGTACACGAATGAGGTAGCTTTAAAAAATTGTACTTATGTGTACGAAAAGTACCAAATGGTACTAAATTTGGTGCAAGTTGGATTTACGTGAACATAGAGTCTTCAAATTGACTGTTAGAGTGTAGGATTGAGGTGTTTAAGAAATGGGTAATTATTGGTACAAAAAGTACTAAATGGTACTAAATTTAGTAGTATTTGCATTTTGCTTGAACGAAAAGATGTGAAAACATGAAATTTGGAATTAATATTTATGTTAATGATTGAGCTATACCGAGAGACATATTTGGAAATTCGTATTTATGTGTACGAAAAGTACTAAATGGTACTAGATTTGATACAATTTGGATTTGGGTGAACGGGGAGAGCTGGAAACCTTAAATTTGAAACAATGGTTGCTGTTAAAATATATAATTGAGATATGGAAGCATAGTACTTATGTGTACTTAATGGTACTATATTTGGTACAACTTGATTATCTATATATATAAAAGAGCTTAGTGTTAAGTGAGTGAGTGACTGACAGATCATCGCCCAGACGAAACGGCTAAAGCTAGAAGCTTGAAATTTTGAGTGTGGGTTGGTGTTGGTGTGTAGGCGTGAGATATGGCTGGGTTTTTGGAAATTCGAACTAGAAGGGTACGAAAAGTACTAAAATGTACCAAATATGGTACCCTTTGTATTAAGTGAACGGGAAGAGCTAGAATTCTGAAATTTGGAATGTGGGTCACTGATGTAAAGTTAGGAAGATGTACAAAAGCGTTTTTGGAAATTCGTACTAGAACGGTACGGAAAGTACTAAATGTGATACCATTTGTATTTGGCGAACCGGTAGAGCTAGAACTCTGAAATTTGGATTGGTGGTCGCTGAGTGTAGGATAGATGTGCCAACGGTTTTTTGGAAATTCGAACTATAAATATCCGAAAAGTACTAAAATGTACTTAATTTTGTACAATTTCGTAGCATGTGAATTGATAGAGCTAAAAACTTGAAATTTGGAATGCGAATTAGGGATGAGATGTAGAGTCCATTTAAGGAGATGGTTTTGGAAGAGTGTACTCATGTGTACGAAAAGTACTATATGGTACTATATCTGGTACAAATTTAATTTGGAGATACAAATCGAGCTGGAATCCTGAAATTTGAAATTAACATTACCGTCGGAGTGTAGGATTGGTAATGTACGTAGTTTTGGATTTTTTTACCCAGTTTCAGTAATTTATATTCATGGGTACTAAATTTGGTACAATTTGAATTTTATGCGAACCAATAGAGCTAGAATCACGAAATTTGGAATCAGGATCACTGTTGGGGTGTAAGATCGAGATAGGTAGGAAGTTTTAAAAATTTTTACTAATGTGTAATAAATTTGGTACAATTTGAATTGTGGATGAACCGACAGAGCTAGAATCCTGAAACTTTGTGTTAGGATCACTGTGGTGGTGTAGGATCGGGGTATGTAGGAAGTTTTGGAAATTCGTACTGCAGTGTACTAAATTTGGTACACATTGAATTGTGGATGAACCGATAGAGTTGGAAACCATGAAATTGGATTTAGGATCACTGTGCGGGTGTAGGATTTGGGTATGTAGGAAGTTTTGGAAATTGGTACTACTATGTACTAAATTTTGTACAATTTGAATTGAGGGTGAACCGATGGAGTTGGAATCCTGAAACTTGGATATAGGATCACTGTGAGGGTGTAGGATAGGGGTCTGTAGGAAGTTTTGGAAATTCATACTACTGTGTACTAAATTTGGTACAAATTGAATTGTGGATGAACCGATAGAGTTGGAATCCTGAAACTTGGATTTAGGATCACTGTGAGGGTGTAGGATTGGGTCTGTAGGAAGTTTTGGAAATTCGTACTACAGTGTACTAAATTTGGTACAAATTGAATTGTGAGTGAACCGATAGAGTTGTAATCCTGAAACTTGGATTTAGGGTCACTGTGGGGCTGTAGGGTTAGGGTAAGTTGGAGGTTTTGGAAATACATACTACTGTGTACTAAATTTGCTACAATTTGGATTGTGAGTGAACCGATAGCGTTGGAATTCTGAAACTTGGAATTAGGATCACTGTGGAGTGTAGGTTTGGGTTAAGTAGGAAGTTTTGGAAATTCGTACTACAGTGTACTAAATTTGGTACAAATTGAATTGTGGATGAACCGATAGAGCTGGAATTCTGAAACTTGGATTTAGGATAACTGTGGGGGTGTGGGTTTAGTAAGAAGTATTGGAAATTCGTACTACAGTGTACTAAATTTGGTACATTTAAATTTGAATTTGGAATCATTATGAGGGTGTAGGATCGGGGTATGCAGGAAGTTTTGTTGGAAGTAGAAGGGTACGAAAAGTACTAAAATGTACCAAATATGGTACTCTTTTTATTAGCGAACGGGAAGACCTAGAATTCTGAAATTTGGAATGTTGGTCACTAATGGAATGTTAGAAAGATGTGCAAAAGGGTTTTTGGAAATTCGACCTATAAGAGTACTAAAGGTACTAAACTTTACTGAATTTAGTTCCTATTGTATATATATTGACCATGTATAGCTGGAATCTTGACATTTTAAATGGAATACAGGTTGGGAAGTGGTGTTGATGTACGGAAATGGTTTAAGAAATTCGTACTTATGTGTATAAAAGTGTAAAATGGTACTAAATTCCGTACTAATTACTCTCAGTTGAGTGTATAGAGATGGAATCGTGATAATCGGAATTAGCTTTAAAAAATCGTACTTATTTGTACGAAAAGTACTAAATGGTACTAAATTTGGTGGAAGTTGGATTTAGGTGAACAGATAGAGCTGAAGTCTTCAAATTGGGAATTAAAATGACTGTTGGAGTGTAGGACTGAGGTAGATTATGAAATTCGTACTTATTGGTACGAAAGGTATATATGGTACTAAATTTAGTACAATTTGGATGTTGCTTGAAAGGATAGAACTGAAAACCTGAAATTTGGAATTAAAATTTCTGTTGAAGATTGAGCTATAGAGACATCTTTGGAAACTCGTATTTATGTGTATGAAAAGTACTAAACGGCACTTAATGGATTTGGGTGAACGGAGAGAGCTGGAAACCCATAATTTGGACTAATGGTTGATGTTTGAATATAGAATTGAGATATGGAAGCATATTACCTATGTGTACTAAATAGTACTATATTTGGTACATCTTGATTACGTGTGAACGGATAGAGCTGGACTCCCGATTTTTTTATTTAAAATTACTGTTGAAGTGTAGTATTGAGCTATGGAGACAACTTTGGAAACTCGAATTTATGTGTACCAATAGTAAATAGAATAGAAAATTCATTAAATTTGGAATAATTTGAATTTGGGTAACGGAGAGAGCTGGAAACCTAAAATTTAGAATGTTGGTCATTGACAGAGAGTTAGAAAGAAGGACCAAAGGGTTTTTAGTACTAAATTTAGTGGAGGTGACGGTATAGAGGTAGTCTTGAAAATGTATAATTATGTGTTCGAAAAGTTCTAAATGGAATTACATGTGGAACCTGTACGTTTTTGCTAATGTGTGGATTTCGGAAAATAGTGCTTATGTGTATGAAGAGTACTTAATGGTAATAAACTTGATATTAAATGTAGGAATAGAGGTGGAATTCAGAACTATAGTACAACGATTTCCATATGAAATATTTTTTTATTCCTGTTCCGCATACGAAGTAGCGGGTACTTTGCTAGTCTTTTATAAATGTTTAGAGTTTTCTAATTTGAAGTTTATTTATCTTTAATTTAATTGTTGCAAACCTCAGTTAATAATGAGCTATTATTTTATATATACTCAAACTGTTGCAAATTCAGTCAAATTTGATTTAAAAGAATAAATTTTACGTTTGTTCCTTCACTAATATTGTTTTTTATTTATGTATGTCCATATTGCATTTTTATGTTATTCTTTTATTCTCTCCTTTCCAGTCCCCTCTTACAATTCGAAGCCGCCTGGGCTCTGACCAACATTGCCTCGGGTACCTCCGAACAAACACGCTGTGTTATTGAAAATAATGCTGTACCACATTTTATTGCCCTGTTGCAATCGGAAAATATCAATTTGGCCGAACAAGCCGTTTGGGCATTGGGTAATATTGCTGGTGATGGAGCTGCAGCACGTGATATTGTCATTCAACACAAGTGTATTGATGGTGTTTTAAATATGGTCGATTTACGTAAAGATATACCGATTTCATTTTTACGCAATAATGTTTGGTTAATGTCGAACTTGTGTCGTAACAAAAATCCCTCACCACCATTTGAGGAAATCAAACGTTTATTGCCGGTGTTGTCGCATTTGTTGTGCGGCACAGATATTCAGGTTTTGGCCGATGCCTGTTGGGCATTGTCATATGTGACCGATGATGAAAATCATAAAATCCAAGCGGTTGTTGATACGGGCGCTGTACCACGTCTGGTCGCCCTATTGGGCACGGATGAGCCGGCCATTATTGTCCCAGCATTGCGTAGTGTGGGTAATATTGTTACTGGAACAGATCAACAGGTAAGTGAATTTATTTTTTTTAAATATATGTATGCTGTTTTTAATTCAGATGCAGACTAATGGTTTTTGCAATTTTACTCAATGAAGATGATGAAAGTTTTTTTTATCAAAGGTATTGCCTCGTAATTTACTGAAGAAATATTCTGTAATCAATTCCAATTTCTTGTTTATCTATACAGCTGTCGTTTCAAGAGGGAAGCTTCACCTTCTCCCCAAGTGCAGCCTGTTACTGACTTGATTCACCCATGTGGTGTCTGTGTCGTCTGCACGACACCTTGTTATGCAAACATTTTCCATCCCTTGTTATTTAATATTAAAAAATATTTTCGCCTCACTTTAAACTTTTGTTATTTTAAACATAAATTCTTTTAAGAAAATATTCATCCTCGAATGTTTGTTCGTCGTCGACGCCGTCATCGTTGTTGTATAGCATTTTTCGAATCTGAATTCTTTTCAAAACTCTTCTTTAACTTAACAACAAGACAAGCTTTATATTAGAAAACTTTCTCGATATGTCTTTTAAGCTCTGATATATGTACAAACATATTACATATAAATGTTTCGTATGTGAGCCGCCTATATTCCAAAAAGAGACGGGGGAAAAGGAAAAGTATATTGAATTTTGAAATCACATAAATTTTGCATAGTTTCACTTTTAGCAAAAGTTTTGCCTTTTCGCTGCTGCTTTTGGTTGAGCTGTGACTTCGACGACGTTGTCATATTCTTGGGGTTTTTGATGTTCTTTTTTGGACTTATTGAGCGTGTTTGTGCACTACTTTCATGCTCAACATTTTAATCTTGTATATGTATGTGTGGTATATGCCTGAAAGATGAACGGGCGTTAAAAGCATACTTTGCAAAATACTCTACTGCATAATATACATACTAAAGATTCTAATGAAGATATACTAGCTGCAGATGCGGGCGCTTAAAATATATGCTGTTTTTTTTTAACACTTGCCGCATAATCTATTATTTCTTAAGAGTGTTCTAATTACCAAAAGAAGACTTTGAGAAGCTAAATTTCTTTCATTTTTTATTTTTTGTTTCACACATTCAAGTGCTATGTGTTTGAATTTCATTTACAAAGATATTAATGTCTTTAAAGATTAAATTACACATAGGGTATTGTTTTCTAAAAGAAACATAATTAAATAGGCTGTTGGAATATTGTCGTATGATTATAACAAAAGTTTTGTAGGAGTTCACAGAAAGAAAGTTGTGAAATAGAAATATAAAGGAATGGAAAACACCACCCGCTATCCGAATAATAATTGAAGCGTATTTTAGGAGCTCCAGTAAATGGTATCCTATATACGAATTGGGCGCAGGAATGATACCGAGAAGCATTGCAATTTGCATTAATACCCACTATCAAATTCTACAACTGTGTACTTCAACAAATTTCCACTTGGACATCAATCCAACTAATCTTTTGTCTTTGTTATATTCTACAAATCTTTTGAATATTTCGTCGTATCATTTCCTTATTGAAATATGTTTTGCATGTCATCTGTGTTACATCCTTTTCTTCTTATCATTTTTTGTATTGAATTTCCATATTCATTGGAGGATATTGAGAATATTAAGTATGTTATTACATTTACAAACACCTTTAAATGTTCACTTGGGGTAGAATACTCAAGTGGTATTTAAGGGCCAACTTATAGGACAACTTGGGAGGGTAGGTTATAACAATTTTGGGAAATGTAACGGTAAAGGTGTTTGGTTAGGTTTAAGAATGTTCAGTCATATATCAACTCCTTTCACCCGGAGAATAAAAATAAAATAAAGAGAATATATTTTATAACTTAATAATGGTCGATTTTTTGGCAAAGCATAGCATAAAGAGACAGTCGATGACTTCTGCTACGTAGCGCTGGACGTCTACATGGTAGATGCGGAATTGTTTACTTTTTTATTTGAAGTTATGTATCCAGGCTCAGTCCATCGACTTCCAGCTCGCAGTATATCTTACGGATTTTGCTAGTATTATTGCCAATAGGCGGTCTTATAGATTCCTTAATCTGCAGATCGGACGACTGATACCCCTCAAACGTTCTCATGTGATATTTCATTCCCATTAATGTCACTATGCAATGTAGCGCAACTTTAAAGTACCCGGTTAACTATCTTAATATCACGTGGATATAGACATATAAGTCGCCGGTTCTTGGTATTTATATTAAGTTATCTACAGTTGCTTTTGCGATTGTTATGTATGAGTTGGTTATGGCTAATTACTTACAGAAAACTCCTGCATCAGTGCCTTTTTCTGCGTACTTTGGAATGACATTTATAACCTACGCAACTATGTTTTACAGGTATTACAACTTTGCGTTGCCCAGAAGTTTGTAATACTGTGAAATTCGGGCCCTATATATTGCTTTTAGTATACCGATCGTCATATCTCGACCAGCTGATTCGATCTAGCCACGTATGTTCGTCCTTCTGTTCAATAAAAGGTGGAAACGCGCTATCGGTTACCGTTGAGACGTTGGACCTATTCTGGCCAATGAACTGGTATTGGACCAAATACTTAATTTTTGTCTGTTTTTCTGATAGCTGTAGAGGCTAAAATTATGACTCGAACACAACAAAGTTTTACACGGAGAAAGGAATCTGACCCAGGAACAATCGAAAATTTGCAAAATTAGTATTCTATGACTTATATAGCTACTACTGAAGGACATAGACCGAATAAGTTGATAGCATATTCAAGAGGAATTATTTACGTTTAAATTGATACCAATTATAGTGATGGTATCTATTCGGATGTGGATTTATACTTAAATATTTACATGGGTCTACGTATTCCGATATTATTTAGTGATCGCTATGGAATTTTACATGAAGTTCCTGTTGGGGTCAAGGTACTGATCAGTTGAACATTTATTTTTGTCAGGATTTCTAGTCTGTATAGAGGACATAATTATAAGCCAAACATCACAAATTTTACACGGGGAAAGGGATCTGGTCTACTATTAAGAATGACTGTTTTGATAAAGATCGGTCGATATTTAGATGTTCAAATGAGCCAAGACATTTGTGTGTAAAATAAAAAATTGAATTTTATTTTTAAATGTTCAGTCAAGTGTGTGCAAATATTGAAAAATACTGTCCAGGCTCGAAATATAGAAGTTAGTCTGCAGTGGTTGTTGTTGTTGTTGTAGCAGCCCTATTGCTTTTACACAATGGGCTGAGGTGACAGACGTTGGCCGAGAAAAATCGGGTCGTTTCGGATCGTAGACGTGGAAACGTGCAGTGGTGGTAGTTGTGTAGAGTATCATGTGGTCAGCCCCGTACCGGTAATAGTAGTTCCTCTACTTCGATATCTCTATTGACGATTTTTTGGGACAATGGAAATAATACAGCTTCCAAATCTGTATAAATTCTATGTATATACACGTTTACATGCCCGACATATAGATAAGGTAGGACCACACGATACGTTTCACCTGTATTACTGATCAGATAAACCTACTCATCTGATTTCTAAATTCCATGCAGTCTTCCCCTCCAGATACAGAGGAAGCCGGAATGATTATTAATAAAGGATATTAAATAATCATTCCGGCTAAATAATAAATTTTTGATAGGTTCGTCATTGTATACAGACCATTCCATTCTTGAAGATATGAAAATTCCCTTTATAAATACCAAGCTATTCGAAACAATTTTTTTCTTATTCCAACCCAATATATCCTTTGATTCCAGGGAGGTATACCTTGGGAAAAATGTAATAAAAATAAATGCAATTCACCAAAACACCTTATTTTCCCTTTAAATGTTTTCCGCAATTATCATTATCACCCTCTGTTTTTTTTAAATAAACGATACACGTTAAAAGTGTGTTACACCAAAAAACAGCATCTCTCTACTTCGAAGGCAAACACTACTTAGTGCATTAACACTTACTTTAATGGCGACAAAATACGTGTGGCATGTGTTCTCTTCGTAGTTGCTACGTTTCAGTAGCTCTGTGAAATGAGACCAAAAAGAGAGGGTATTTTTGTGTGATGCGATAGTTCTTTCACCATGCTTTGTTATTATAATGGTCCTTCGATGGAGTAGAAGAAGAAAAAATGCGGACGGACAACCCAACGGAAAAAGGAATACTGTGAAATTTGCAATGCAAATTAATGGCGGCTTGACGTTTGCCTTCGTTCATGGTACGTCGTTTTGTTCAGGGTTTTATTTAAGGATATTGTTTGTTGTAGGCTTGGCAAAATGACAGGCAATTTCTTCGTGGGACCTTTTTTATTCGCCTTCTCTGGCGCTAGGGTGATGCCTGCGAATATACCAACAAACATGGCAATAGTTAAATAAAGTTCGCAATTCTTTGTTTTTCCCCCAAATAAAAGTAAAAGTCCTAAACGAAGGTGGAGATTTTTGTGAAAACCTCATTTCCATCATTGGCTTTCACGACAACAATATGGCTTGCATATATTTTCGTAAGATAGCTTCATCGTTTTGAATGAATAATTATATGTACGTTGCATATATATTTTAAAAGAGAATAGCACGGATATATGGGGGGTTAACAAGTGTAAAAGTTTGTACAAATAGCCAGTATCACGTAATATATATTTGTCAGTACCTGTACAGACGATTTCATTATAAATGGGGGGTGGTGACACATAAATTTCAATTTGTGATTTTATGTGGGCACCGTCGGATGCTAAAGTAAACAAGGTGTGAATATTTTAAAGAAAGCAATCGTTAATTTGTGACGAGTACCATCAAGTTCCCACCCAATGTTGGTGTTAGTCTTGTAACTATAAGAACGAAACATAGCTGGGTACATGGAAGCAGAAGAAGAGGTGGCTCAGTTCGGACATGCCAATGCTGTTTCAGGAGAAATAAGCAGTGAATTTGATGTGGTTATCATTTGGAAAGACAGAAAGATTTTCTCACCTATCTAATTAGGGAAACCGGTTCTTTCCGTCTCCGCCATCAGAGTATTCCGTCGCACCTCTGCATTGATTCATCCTTGGCAGACGAAAATAACTTCATGGATACTACTGTGGTTAACACTACGATGACCCAGGTGACTCCTCTAATTCAAAGTGAATCGCAGTCAAAGGTGGTGGAAGAGAACGTAAATCTTGGGCAAGATGAAAAACCCAACTCATGGGAAGCCGATTCAAAACTCAATTGAGGTGGATGTTGGTGCAGATGATCTGCACATTGAAGCAAGCTTCCGACAAAATGATCTGATTTTTGTCTGCCTCGGAAGAAATGGCGATCAATGATTACCGTCCATTGCTTCACCCTCAACTGTCTTAGTAGAAATAATTAAAAATAGAATTTCATGCTTTCTGGCTATGTATATATCGACAGACCATATCTATAAAATTAAATATGGACTCACTTTTTGTATTGGCATCAGATTCAATGACTAGGTCACCATTGCCGTTCTTTATAAACTCCCGTCCGGGTGGGTCAGGAGCCTCATACGGGAGACATCCCATAAAACAGTTCACCTTTATACCTCCATAGGCATTGTTCTCCAGCAGAGCCGGTGGGGAACTTAGCGACAAGCCCGCCGATCTTTTCAATTGAGGTGAGGATCCTCCACTTCCTTATCTGCAGTCCGTCGTTCTGTTTTTCAACCAACCTCAGTGTTTTCTCCAGTTACATAAATGATAAAGGGATCCACACTGAGATAACCATCTTGTGGACCGCATCAGCTGCTAGCTTACTACCTTCCCAAATATGGTCACTGTTATTAATTGTTTTATTAAGGAAGTCAGCAGACCCTTTGGTACGACAAATAACAACTTTGCCACCGTTGTACAAGGTGATGTGGCCAAACCGAAGGCTCCGTCGATCAATTTCGTCGTTTAGAAAGAGGTCCTTCGTATATCTATCAAGCAACAACCATTTATTTTTATTGATAACCCCGTCGGAGTCCGTTCGATCCATAATTGCTACTCGCAGATTTACCTCTGTTTAGGCAGCAGGGTTTCTAGGCGTCAATATCGGTTGTAGGGGTTCCTGCTTCGAAATGGCGGGTTTGGCTTTCACCTCACTCTTACCACTCTCTCTTATAGACACATAGGTCACAGTCTTCTCCTCCTTCGGAGGGCCAACTGTAGTGCATTTGCACGTCATGTTGGAATTCTATACATTAAGAAGTCACTCGCAATATTATTCGGAGAATTCCTAGAGAACTTTCGAATAGATTAGATATCCGTGATTGATGTCCGATAAACCTGTTGTAGAAGTTAACCGACCTACAGTATTTTTTTTTCATTTTTTCAGCACCAGTATCCACGTCAACGGCCAACTGCCTCAGAAGTCTCGAGACTTCACTACAAGCCGTGGAGATGGAATTGGGATACTCTTCGTCGCCAGGGTTTGCGTCCCTATTCACCATCTGATACAAATCACTTTGATTTGGAGTCACCATGATATCTATCGTGTTCATCACAGTGGTATCCATAGCGTCTTCCTCGTCTGTGAAGGGTGGGTCGTCCCAGAGTTGATTCTAAAGAAGTCGATTTCTTCAGTATGGTGTGGAGAAGGGGTCTGAGGTAGTCATCATTAGTGGGAAATGATGAGTTTTGACCTTGTAGAGTTCGAGACTGAGGGTGCCAAGGTATCAGTCGAAAAATTGCATATATTAACATTGCTATCTTTACGTATCAACAAGGCTACGTTCAAATACAGTAGGGACCTAAATGCGAACCGTAAAACACTGATAAGCACGAGGTCGCCCAACACCTGGCGTTAAGGGATCACTTAGGGCGGTACTGACCTAAGACCTATGAATTGGATTTTTGAAGGCGCCATTCCCGCCTCGTCAGTCCTGGGATCATAGGCACTCGGTCATTTTCTCCGAGACACCAAAACCCGATGATTGTCCGCGACTGCTTATATAATATTCACAGTTACCCAAAGAATAACATTGGGCTTTCCACTGTCCCCAACCTGTGGACACGACCGTCAGGGCGGTATGAAATAAGTCCCTTTATTTCATTATGAAATAAATTCCTAAAAAGCAATATAAAATAACCTCCCCCCACCGAAATGAAGGAACTCTCCAAAATAAAATGAAATAAGTCCCTTAAAGTGGGGACTTATTTCATAATGAAATAAGTTCATAATTCGGAAAATGAAACAAATCCCCAAAAAAATGGATTTATATGATATATTTTTTATAAAAATTTCAAAATTTTTGCCCCTCTTTGTCTCTCTTGCGGAGTTAGTTCGAATTTTATTACTGCAGACACAAAAGTTCTGGATTCCAATCTGTAAATGACATTTTGTTTTTATTGTTCATATAAACAATAGATTTTTATATATATATACTTTCCGTATCCAAAAATCGAAATTTTGGTCTGGAGTTTGAAGCAGAACCAGGTTGAGCAAAAACCGTCTAAGATGAATTTGCATTTGTTTTTGGATATAAGTTGTATCCTTGCGTCATAGTGGTGTGGACCTTACGTTGAAGCCCCAAGGTTCAATCCGAATACCATAGAACGTTAATAGACACAAATTCGACTAACCCCCACCGTTATGATGGAGGTCACCGCAAATTTTCGTCTCGACGAGGTCCATTGATGGTCAGAGTCTTCCTATTTAATTAACAGTTTGGACGTGACACTTAGTAGTCAAGTCAATTTTGAGGACTTGATGCTCTCTTCAGTAAGGGGTTTCCTTGGATACTATACCAATTAATTTTAGTTTTGCATTATCCCAGATCGCCCTGTAATCTATTTAAAAAATATCTTCCCACTGTCTTAGTCGATTTAAAGTTTTTTCCATGAATTTCGGCTGACCTCATTTATTCAGTGCATCTATGGAATTTGAATTTTAAATACAAATGTGAAAAATGTAAAACATATTGTCGAAAAAAGGCAACGGTTTTATTTATAATTTCGGAATACATTTTCATCTTGAGTTCTTTAGAGTATATATTTTTTGGGATCTTTCTTACTCTACTCTAAAAGCCTGCCGTGCTCCATCTAACATAGCAGGCAGCCATCCACCCCTCTTATCATCCAATTTTAACATCAACATTCAGACATTTCCTTAAAACTTCTTATGACAGTTGTCGTTGTCGTCGTCATGAATTTTTCCCTTTTATATTCATTCAATTCGATCCGCTGCCGGTGCTGAGTGCAAAAAGAAAAAAGGAAAGCCAAGAAGAAAAAATAATGTTGAGGTAAAATAACAAAATATATGCGTTTGAAAGGCGTGATAACGATGATTTTCCAAGGCACACCACACACTATCACCTCCAACCCTGTGTTGCTGTGCTGTTGTTGTTTTTATTGGTGGCAGTAGTAGTGGCAACCAGATGGAAATAGAAGTTATTTGCATATTACACTTTTCGCACAATCAACCAACGGCAGTCGTCATTCAGTCAGTCAGCAGCCTCTTCATTGTCACCTTAACAGGTTTCGGCATACATTTTCAAATGCTAATGAAATTCTTTGTGCAAAAGCTCAGTCGGCTGTGTTACCTTTCTTGCTTGTTTAACATTCCATTTGGTATGAGGAAATATATTTTTCCATTTCTTAGTGATGCGGCGGCTACAGATTGGGTCGGTCTATCTGCTGATGTTTGTCCTCCATCTATCCTACCAGATTGCCTTGTGTTGTCGTTGTGGCCCATGCAATTTGAAAAGCCTAGCAAACGAACCCAGCCACTTCAATTTGTTTAAATTACTTGGCACTTTTTATTGCAACTGTTTTTCTATTACCCTACTCCAACTCTCCTCCTCTAAACGTTTCAACTGCCGCCTAGTGTTTTCATTACGGCCGCTTTTTGCAAAAGCCTAGCAAAATTATTTTCTCTTGCCCATTTAGTTCTCCTTTTTGCTTAATTTTATAACTCAAATAGTAAATAGAAATGAAAATTTTATGGAAATGGTTTGCCTTGTCCTTTTTTTGTTATTTTTGCAATGCTTGGTTGGTTGGCTGTTGTCAAACCAACCAAAAACTACTACATCCTCAATCTCGTATATATTTTGCTCTTCTCTTCCTATGGTCGCCATGCTTATCTTTTAATTTTCTCTTTTTTAATTTCGTTTCCTTCTTGCTTGTTTCTTTTTTGCAGACTGATGCTGTAATTGCTGCTGGCGGTTTACCTAAGTTGGGTCTTTTATTGCAACATTCCAAAAATAATATTGTCAAAGAAGCCGCCTGGACTATCAGTAACATAACAGCCGGAAATCAAAAACAAATTCAAGCTGTTATTGATGCGGGTAAGTGGTGGTTTGGCATTGTATCTCTCTATACCTGTGTTTTTATTTAGAGAGGTGGTGACGATGATGGTTTTCTGTCAATTTGAATATATTCTAACGTCATGGTTTTGGTTATAAAGATAACCAACTATTCTAAGAAGATTAAGGAGTTGTGGTTTTCCATTAGATTCTACATGCTAGATTTGTTGTATATCATTTGCAAAATATTATTTCATTTCTGTATAGTATTCAGATTAAAAAAACTCAATGGATTTTCATAAATAGATAATAATATTACTTAATAGTTAATAATACTTGGCTATAAATTTGCCATTGAGCTGACCGCACAATTCTATATGTTATAAAACACTATTAAAATAAGTCAAATAATTGAATTTGTCCTCTTCCTACAAGAAATACCTTACAAGCAGGTTTCGTGGATTGGTTGTTGTTGTTGTAGCAGTTATATGTATTGAATGTTTCCTGTTATGTTTCCTCCAGTTCTGTCTCCAGATTTAGGAATGCAGCTACCTCCACTGGCTGTAGCCACAAATCTTCCGGAGTAAGGTGAGTAGGTTTGGCTGGGCAATTGAACAAGTGCAGTGTGGTATGAGGGCCTGTACCACATGCTGGGCAGACATTTAGCACCTGGTCATCAATCCGTGCCCAATACGAATTGAGCCGACTGCACCATCCAGAACGTAATTGAGCCAGAACTACTCTGGTTTGTCTAGGCAGCTGACGTTCTTCAGCTGCTATGGGTGGGGGGTGAGCTCCGAGGACGGCATTCACTTTGTAACCGTTCAGCGCTGCGGCTACTGCATCTGTATGAATGCCATTCAGACCCGCTCGATAGGCAACTTGATCTAGAGGCTCCCTTTTGTATCGTTGGACCTCTCTCTCTAGATCATGCAGATCCTTCCTGACACGCCTGGGCGGGGGAGTCCTATCCACCATGTAATGGTTGGGATGATCGTCCCTGAAACACCCAAGCAGGTACTGCAACGAAAGCATATTGCTATGCTGACGTACGGGAAGGATCTTCGTCTCCTCATGAAGATGGTCCACTGGTGTCATGAGGAGGCACCCTGTCGCTGTCCTCAGGGCGGCATTCTGACAGGTCTGAATATTTCTCCATTGCGTATCACTGGAATTCGCAGACCACACTGGAACCGCATAGCTAGCCACAGACCGACCTATCGCTTTGTAAGAGGTCAACAAGGTTTCCTTATCTGCGCCCCAAGTGCTGCCGGCAAGCGACTTGAGGACCTTGTTCCTACTTTTCAGCTTATCGCAGATAGCTGTGGTATGCGCGGACGATTTGAACATGCTGTCAAATGTGACCCCGAGTATTTTGGGGTAGTTGGTGGTCGGAATTGTATGCCCCTCGACCTGCACATTCAACGGCATTCTCATCTCCGCAGTCCATGTGGTGAAAAGTGTGGCTGACGACTTCGAGGCGGATATTTTCATATTCCTCGCTTTGAAGAATGCTGCTAAATCGATGAGATATGCGTTCAACCTCACACATATGTCTTCAACAATGGGACCCGACGCCATAATCGTACAATCATCTACATACGTAACGATTTCTATGCCGTCCGGAGGGCGTGGAATACCGGAAAGGTAGAGATTAAACAGTTCCGGAGAAATCACTCCACCTTGGGGAACTCCCTGTTTAACTCTACGGGGTTTGGACTTCTTGTTCCGGAACTCCACGTACGACTGGCGTCCACACATATAGTTGATTATCCAACGTTTCAAACTCGGCCGGAGGGAAGTGTTCTCAATGTCCTCAAACAGCGTGGCATGGCTGACAGTATCAAAGGCTTTTGATAGGTCAAGCGCTACCAACACTGTTCTATCGCACGGCCGGTTCTGGTTAAGTCCTCTACTTATATGCGTGGAAATGGCGTGCAACGCTGTTGTTGTACTATGTTGCTTACGGAATCCATGTTGATGATCCGCAACTGGATAGCTTTCTCTAATGCTGGGGAGGAGTAAAGCCTCATGGGTCTTCGCTACTGGCGACAAAAGTGAAATCGGCCTGTACGATTCACCTTTGCTGGCATCCTTGCCCGGCTTCAGTAGCGGGACCACCCTGCCCATAGTCCAGGCTTCGGGGACGACGTGGGTGGCTATCGACAAGTTGAGGACGTTGGTCAAGTACTCGACTCCCGGCTCATCCAGCTGCTTCAGCATACACATAGATATTCCATCTGGGCCCAACGCTTTAGATGACTTCGCGTTACGGATGACATATGCAACATCACCCATCGTAAACTGTGGTGGTACCTCCTCGGCTGGAAGAGATCTTATACGACGAAGTACTCTTCTCTTCGCCCTGTCGCTCTCGGGATGCTCGACAAACTGTCGGTTAAAATGACTTGCGCATCTCTTCGGATCAGTCACAGTTTCGTCGTTAAATGTGACTGAGGTCCTATCATCCTTTTTACCAGGGTTCGAGAGCGACTTAACCGTTGCCCACAGTTTACTTACTCCGGTACCAATGTTGCAACTCTTCAGGTGCTCCAACCATCTATTCCGCTTGTGCTCCGCGACTAATCTGCTGACCTCCAACGTGAGTTCCCTGACCCTGGGATCTGCTGGGTTAGATCGACGGAGCTCATCACGCTCGTTTGCCAGACCAACTGCTTCTGCTGGGAAATTGGGTCTCATCTCGGGTATTCGACCAGCAGGTATAAATCTAGCAGCTGCAGCAGTGATGATGCCTCGGAATTTCCTTTCTGCTACCCGTACATCAGAAGGAATGGAAAGTTCTCTGAAGCGTTGGTTGGTGAACTCTCTGAAACCTTGCCAGTTAGCTTTCCTATGGTTAAGGAAAGTGCGGCGTTCAGAGATGACGAAATCGGGCGGTCTGCTGATGGAGACGATTATGGGGAGATGGTCTGATCCAAGAGAAATGACGGGCTGCCAGCTGACGTCATTTATCAGACCCGGTGACACAATGGTTATGTCTGGCGAACTGTGACACTCTCCCCTTATTCTGGTGGGGGCATCCTCATTTACCGTGCAAAACGTGGAGCTATCAATTTGCTCTGCCAGCACTGATCCCCTCTGGTCATTACCTAGGACGGAATGCCACAACTCATGGTGGGCATTGAAGTCCCCTAGCACCAGGCGGTTATTGCCCTCCAATAGAAAACTAATGTTGGGCAAATAACGCGGTTCACAGCTGTTAATCGGCGGTATATACACGTTAAGCACCTCTACCTCGGCAGTACCACATTTAACTGCTACCCCCATACATTCCATGTATGGGTCACTAGAGTCAAGCTCAAGCGAGATAGGCCTGTATTGAACAGAGTGGTGCATAAGGAATGCTAGGCCTCCACCTCCACTTCTGGTGCGATCCTTCCTCAGAACGTTGTAACCATCACAACGCTGTAGGCTACAATTTTCATTGAGCTTGGTTTCCTGCACCGCCGCGACCAAAATATTCTTCCGATTCATGAAATCCACTATCTCATCTATTTTTCCTCGGAGACCGTTGCAATTAAATTGCAGAAACGATGCACTATCAGGGGTGGGAACAGCAACGTGCGGTGTTAAGTGCTGCATACTTGATTGCTGTTCAGGAGACTGCGGTGGAGTTCCGTACTCCGACGAAGAAGACGACGACGTAGACGAAGACTCTCTGGGGATTGCGCTGTTGCAGCACGAGGCAACGTAATCCCTATCGCTGTAGTCTCGCAACCGGGCCAACCCGGAACAATTCCTGAAGTGCACCCACTCCCTGCACCCATTACATCTCACCGACACTGACCTGTGGTGAATGATGTTCTGGCAAACCGAACAGAACCATGGTCCGGGGTTTTGTTCGATCCCGGCACGGACCAAAAGAATCCGGAGCAAGCATTCCGGGATATGTTGCTCCCAAAACAGAAAAACAATACAAACATATATAACTGGGTTGGCAGCCGCTGGCCGAAATAAATCGGGTCAATCCGGTATCGTAGAACCCGCTGCCGTGGGATTGTCGTGGATTGGTAAAGACGCTGGCTGAGGCGGGACTACTTTAAAGAGAATAATATAGCTGAATTAGAGATAAAATAAATATTCTAGAGTAACCGAGTAGTGAACTCTTGGACTACCGGGACAGATTTGTACCGGAAGAGCAAAGTGGGGACATACTCCCAGAGGAACTGCAACAAAATCTTAACTGATGATTAGCTGGACACCGCGGTGAATCCGGCGAAATCTCCTCAGGAAGATTGCTGTGGCCCTAACGAGGGGAGCATAGACCCTGTTGCCCAAATCTGACTCCGACTAGCACTATGTCGGCATATGTCAATAAGCTTCAGAGTCATACTGAATCGATGTCCGAAGGTCGTCGAGGTGAATTTGGCTCCCCTGAATAACATATGTGTAGGTCTGTGGTAACTTCCGACCTGAAGTCCGCCACACCAAAATCAGTCGAAGGGAGTTGTCATCCCATTGCTTATTTTAATAGGGAGATTTTTCTGTACTATACATGTAGTATTACCATGGCCAGCACCTGGCTGATAATTCTGAAAAACTTGTTGAGTCGCCCAGGAATAAATAAGGCTCCGTAGGAATACGGAAACTTCTTATCAATCAGAACTTTAAAGCGGGTCCCTTAGTTAGAGATTATTTTGTCACCATTTAGTAAGACGAAACTTCGCACAGATTGGGACGTTTATGGAGAACAATTCAATAGGCACAAAAGTGGAATCAAGAAGTCTAAGCGCAAGTCTTGGTTCTGTTTAATTAGCCAATCAAAGGAGTTTTGCAAAGTAATATCTAAATATCCCAAATCTATAGGTATTATTAGGCGAACTGATGTAACGTGGACAAACCTCCGGTAGAGAGACTCTTAATCTCGTTACCATCGTCCCACTGGATCAAAATGACGAAGTGCAGCACCTACGTCGGCATACGTTTCGGACCAAGGAGGAGAAGATTATACCGGTCATGTTGGAGTATTGGTCACTTTAAAGAGGATTTTAGGTCTTGTCTGTTTTTATTATAAATGCCAAGTGTATGAAAGGAGAATATGGAGATTTCCGGTTACACATTGGTTGCGAAAAATTCTTGCAATCAGAGGGCTTTAAATCGTGTATTATAAATTCAAAAGCGGTTCTTGATTGTAAAAGAGATGTGCATGATATGTGACAGAAAGTTTGTTTATGTTGAATTCCAGAACATAGTAACATAAATGGGAATGAGATAGCCGACATACTTGCTCGAGGAGGTTCAAAGACGTCCAATCTACCGATTGAGGGATCTGTACAACCTCCTATTGGCTTTTCAGGATTTCAAAAACTATCTGGCCTGTGTGTTATCACGCAGTACTATTTCGTTGATGTCTCATAGTAAGCTAGAGATAAACATCATTGTAGGTATGATAAAAGGTTACTGCAGGATCAGATCGCTCATATTCACATGTGACATTATTGGATTATTGCAGTTTATGTGAGGATTAGGGAAAACTGGAAAATATGCATTGACACTCTAGTTTTCTTCTTCGGAATAGATTCCGCAATACCTCTTTTGTCATTATACGTCGGATATGTATTTCATTTACATCACTGCTTCAGACGGACCCTTAATTTAATCTACCGGTTATTTCCCTCTGAAGGCACGTCGTGCCTCTTTCATAACTGTGACCTGTATCGTGTTTACCAATTATAATGGACAGATGGTTGAGATATGACGATCGATATACGAAAAGGTGTGACTGGACCAATATTTCGCGGTTTTACAAACACAAAGCTATAATACCTCTATAACATAGTTGTGTAGGGTATAAAAATATTCAGCCCGGGGTTCCCGAAGACCGAAGTAGAACAATACGTAAGACTTTTGTTCTTCATATCAACAGAACAAAATCAGCTGTTAAGACAAAGATTAGTGGTATACCCATCTTAATTCAGAGCGAATACCGACATATGGGATAGGATCACACTACATGCACAGTTGTACGATGTATCTAATCCATTCAAATGGTACCCGATGGACTAAAAAAAAATAAATCCATAAAACAGTATTTTTATGAGCACTGCTGATGTTTTTGGGAGATCTTCTTCGCTTATGATTTGGTTAACTCTGCTATGAAATGCCATTTTCCTGACCCTGGGGTCTGTACGGATAATATAACGTTTAGATTTAGCCCATTAGACTGTAGTCCATTATACTTTATTTGATTTTATTCCAAATTCGTGTGGAATTTATTTAGGATTCCGATTGGTTCGGAAATGTCATATACTGCATATCGTAATATTTCCAAACTGTAAAGTACTTTTATAATCTGAATACATAGGATGGTGTATCTTATTGCACGGTCGTCAACCTCTAACAATAACCATTTCTCGCTTGTTTAATTTTCAGATATCCGTGTTGTGTTACCTTAATTAAATTTCCATTGAAAGGCTTTCAATTGAATTTCTTTCTAGGCATTTGCTTTTTCTATTAGAAAACTTGATAAGTCTAGACTCCTCCTATATTCTATTTTCTTTTCTCCGGTAATAAAATACTTTTTCTACCGTTTAATAATTACAAAATACAAAGATTCTATTTTGGAAACTTGCCTGCCTTTTTGTTAGAAAAAAAAGGTAACCCATCCGGAAACCAATTTTAACTGATTTTGAGTGTAAATTGGATTTTTGGTATGAGGTTTACATTTACTTGTCACTTCCACGCACACACACACACTTTGAGATACAAAGACCCAAAGGAGTTTCACAAAAGAACTTTATCAAAGAGAAAGGCAGGTGGTTTTTGTTTGGGCGCTTTGTAAAACCAGACATTTTAGTTTTTTGATTCTCACAATTTTAGGATATTCAATCTTATTTTTAATGTGATTTTTTCTATTGTTTTCCTCTTCTCTTTTTCTTACAGACATATTCGCTCAAATACGTAAAGTCTTGGAGAAGGGCGATTTCAAATCACAAAAGGAAGCCGCTTGGGCTGTTACAAACACAACTACCAGTGGCACACCCGAACAGATAATCGACTTAATTGAGAAATATCAAATTTTAAAACCATTCTGTGATTTACTTGACGCCAAGGATCCCCGCACCATTAAAGTGGTTCTAACAGGTCTATCGAATCTCTTTGCCTTGGCCGAGAAATTGGGTGGCACCGAGAATCTCTGCCTAATGGTTGAGGAGATGGGTGGCCTCGATAAATTGGAAAATTTGCAACAGCATGAAAACGAAGAAGTCTATAAGAAAGCCTATGCCATTATTGATGCCTACTTTAGCAATGGTGATGGTGCTGAATCGGAATTGGCACCACAGGAAGTAAATGGTGCGCTAGAATTCAATGCTGCCCAATCGAAGGCACCTGAGGGTGGTTTTACATTCTAAGAAAATCTGTTTTGTGTTGTGAAAGGATGAAGAGTCGAAGGGATGAAAGGAATGGAGAAAGACACTCAAAACAATTTCCAAACCATCATCGAATGAACAAAGGAAGTTGAGCTTCTTTTGGTTGGACTTTGAATGTGTGTGTGTGTCTGCTACCACAACAACATTTGTAGTTTTCTATGGAAATTGGTTTTGTTTGTGTAGTGCTCCATCTATCTATCCACCACCATTCCCTAACGAAAACTAATCATCATTATTTATAATATCCATTTTAAAAATGCATTTTATTCATTGTTGTTTTATATTACACGCATAAGCATCAATCGTTCACTTTGAATATTCAATCATTCATTCATTATGTATGTCATATATAGAAATTTTGTATTAGATATCAAATCGAGTTTTTTTATAATATCACTGCATGCCATATCCCCCGAATTCTGTTACACGATGTCTATTTGTTAAGCTTGATAACATATTTTTCAATTTTCGATATAAGAATTTAATTTTTGTATTTAATAAAAGAATGTATTTACATTAAAAAAAATACAATTTGTTTTATTCACGCATTTATTGATCAATTGATTATTTTTAATGTAGCGCAGGTACCTTTAAAACACACATTTATTTTTAAAATCAACGCATCTGTAGCAGCACATGTCGTAACGTGTTTACATCTAATTGTTTACAAATTGACTCAAGCTATTTCTAGAGAATTTACACTATTTGGATCTAACTTTTTATGACAATATTGACCTTTTGATTTAGTATATACCGAAACGTTTCATTTTCCGACATATGGTAGCAGATTTGTGTTGTTTTAAAACCGTATATTTGATTTTTTGATTAGAATATGAAAATTTCTGCCAGAAAATGGACATTGCATTCGGTGTGATTGTTGTTTTATTTACTGACGACATTTTTTACACAAATTGTCATCATATTGATCCCCCTCTCCCTTTTATTCAAAACTAGCATAAGCCCGCAACTTCGTTTGCGAATGTAGGAAATATTTCAAAATGTGTTAACATATTATTTTATTTTCAGAGAAAACTGCATATTTCAGAAAAAAAAAAACAATCCACACATTAATATCGACCATAAATTAAATTTGAGTACCATTTTATGATTCCAACTCTTTTAATTCACTCACAATTAAAATTATACCAAATTTAGAGCTGTAAAGGTTCACCCAAATCCAAATTTTCCATTTTGCACACATTATTTCCATAAGTACACTCCTCAACCATCTAACTAAACTTCCTGCATACCCCGATCCTATACCCCACAATGATTCCAAATTCAAATTTCAGGGTTCCAACTCTATTAATTCTCCCACAAGCAGTGCCAATTCCAAAATTTCCTATATTCCCCAATCCAACTCTATTGGTTCACCCAGAATTAAAATTTTACCAAATTTAGTACACAGTAGTACGAATTTCCAAAACTTCCTACATACCCAATTGTACACCCCCACAGTGATCCTTAATCAAAAATTCAGGATTTATACTGTATCGGTTCACCCACTATTCAAATTTAGTACACAGTTGTACTTCTTTCCAAAACCTCATTCCTACCCCAAACCTACACTCCCACAGCGATCCTAAATCCAGGTTTCAGGATTCCAACTTTATCGGTTGACCCGCAATTCAAATTGTAACAAATTTCCAAAACTTCCTACTTAACCCAAAGCTATACCCCCACAGTGATCCGAACTCTATCTATCAGGATTCCATCTTTATCGCTTCACCCACAATATAAATTGTATCAAATTTAGTACACTTAGTACAAATTTCTAAAACTTTCTACATACCCCAACCCTACACCCCCACAGTGATCCCAAATCCAAGTTTCAGGATTCCAACTCTATCGGTTCAGTCACAATTCAAATTGTACACATATCTAAAACACATAGTACACATTTCTAAAACTTCATACATATCTCAATCTTACACCTCAACTGTGATCCTGAATACAAAGTTCATGATTCTAGCTCTATTGGTTTACCTAAAATTCAAATTGTACCAAATTTAGTACCATTTAGTACCCATAAGTATTATTTTCTTAAACTGAATCCTGACCCCAATTCCACACCCCTACAGTGATCCTGACTCCCAAATCCAAACTGTACCGATTATAGTACGATTTAGTACTTTTCGTACACATAAGTAACCAATTTCCAATTTTCGTTCATATCCCAATCCTACTTTAACTTTAATTTCAAATTCCAGGATTTCAGCTCGATTTGTATCTCCAAATTAAATTTGTACCAAATATAATACCATATAGTACTTTTCGTACACATGTGTACACGCTTTCAAAACCATCTCCTTAAATGGACCCTACTTCTCAACCTTAATTCACACTCTAAATTTCAAGTTTTTAACGCTATCCGTTCACATGCTACAGAATTGTACCAAATTTAGATCATTTTCGTACTTTTCGGATAGTTATAGTTCGAATTTCCAAAAACCCTTTGGTACATCTATCCTACACTCCATCAACGACCACTTACCCATAATTCAGATTTCTAGCTCCACCGGTTCGCCAAATACAAATGGTATCACATTTAGTACCTTTTAGTAATTTTCGTACCGTTATAGTACGAATTTCCAAAAACCCAGCCTTATTTGTCACATTTGGACCAAGAGTGACCCTCACCCAAAATTTCAAGATTCTAGCTTCAGCCGTTTAGTCTGGGCGTTGATGAATCGTTAAATCAGTCAGTCAGTCAATCACTTCACTCTTTTATTAATATAGATAAACAAATTCTGATCACGATCATTTTTCTAGTTTCGAAAGTGAAGGCAGAAGTGTAAACAATTCATGGGGAATTGACGTCCAGAAAAAATACACCTTACGACACAATGTCTAGAATGTACCTACTGCTGTAACCCTGTAATCGAAGAAAACTGTGGGCAAAATATTCCAATTTTTGGCGCTTTAGTTTCAGATATAACTCGTACGGAAGCATTTAACATGATAATGGAAACGCAGAAATTCAAAATTCGGCTTAATTTCACGGAATACCACGGAATTTGCCAGAAAAATAAATTAATCAATTAAGAGCCGCTGAGTATTGAGCTTATTTGGTCTAACTATATATGTTTTTAGAAAATAATTCGGACGAATCAGGTAGTTCTTCAAGATAAAGGATTTTTACTAAAAATTTTGAAGTACACACATATAGGGTTTTAGTAACATGGTACAGTTAACATTTTCTTCCTTGAGGACCCAACTAAAATATTATGACCAACATTTTTGTAGAACAGTGTTAGGATGAAAAATCACATCTTCTGATAATTGAATTCCGGTTCAATAAATTGCGGACGAAAAGGAGAGGAATCGAGTTAGAAAAACAAAATGTTTACAAACAAATTTTACTGAAGAAATGTAATCTCCAAAAATACATACTATCTACAATCAAGATGTTGAGCAATATCTACATGTAAATAGGGTCGCCAGCAACAAAATATCACGACATATCTAAGAACGTTGACCTATGGTTTATTTTTCCTATTGGGGTTTTCATATACTCACCAATGTCTTTCATGCCCAATAGAAATTTCCACCCCCTAAGGTCCTTGACAGTAAAAGTTAAGAATTTTCAAAAAGTGGAGTTAATGGATCTATCTCGTTTGATTGCGCCTGGACAGAGTATCTACAATAATGCTGGACGTACCCGCACAGCGTTTTGAAGCCTGGAAAGAAAAAAAGGTGGTTTAGTTACAATTATAATATTGGTACATGTTACAACATTGCCCAATCCCGCCTATTTTGCGTATTTCTATGGTCCTAGGAAAATTGTTCAACCGAAGTGGCTATAATTTGCCATACCGGATTCTTGGAGAGTAAAATCGCAAAAATGTGAGTATGAAGTTTTAATAGCCTGGTGGTCCCTTCAGGAACCTCAACTTTAGAGACTTGTTTTTCAAAAATGTTACTTTTTTGCGCAATGTTTATTCAGCAAATATTCTCTTTATAATGTATGCCATCTAGCGGAAAAGAAAATCATATGCTTTTCGGTGCTGAACAGCTGATTTTTGACGTTTATCAGAAAAACACACAAAAGCTTCAAAGTGAACAAATCGTGTTTTTTCAAATTGATTGAAATCAAAACTTTTGATCCAAAAGAACCAAATAAAATTAATTTTTATTATTTGTGCACTATATTCAAACCATGTAAATATCTTTTTAACAATATAAATTTTTTTTATTTGTGTTTTTCATGTAAAAGTCCTTTGGTCCTTAAAAGAACCAGTAGGCACTCATTAGAGAAGTGAAATTCGTTAGTGCTTTAGCGTCTTTTTCTTATTTTAGTGTTAATTTTTCATAGAACAATGCCACGTAAATACAAAGATTTTACCACGGCTGAAGAGTTTGAAGCATTCGTCAATGATTTTGAATGGTCAGAAAGTGAAATTGGCGATATATCAGATTATGACGACGACAGTCTAGACGATCCCGATTTCAATATAGTGACAAATAATGATGCGAATATCACTGATCAGTTGGAAGATGATGTGTTCGAAAATGGGAACGAATTAGATGCTGAACAAGTTGTGAGTGTGGAACCAACTGCTGTTGATAGTGTTCAAAATGAAGATATAGTTGTTACTGGAGATAGCACACGCTGGCATCAAATTGCAACATTTTACAAAGATATCACAATTGACAAGGACTCTTCCGAGTTTAAAAAATGTATCTGGAAGAAAAGCCATATGCAGAATCATGCTAGTTGGGTTCAGTTTGGCAGCGATTCTGAATTGACAACAGAAATAATGGCACTAGATACACCTTTCAAATTTTTTTCTTACTTTGTAAATGACGATATAATTTCTAATATTGTAGGCCAAAGCAATTTGTACGCAATTCAAAAGGATTCATTGAAACCTCTAAATACAACGCCAGACGAAATAAAACGCTTTTTTGGCATTACATATTTTATGTCCGTCTTCAAGTACCCAAGTATCAGGACATATTGGGGTGAATTTGGCATACCGGCTATT